AATTATAATATGTTTGTTAGTGGCAGACTGTTCCATAAACTTACACTGAATTGTCTGAATAAACTATGAGATGTCAACAGTTTATCCATATTGTTCTAGTTCTAGTTTTCTTATCAATGACTTGAAAGGGTTGCAAAAAAATCCCGAACCTGGGCAGACAATCCACAGAACCATTCAGTCATCAAACATTCAACAAGACACAATTAATTCATGTACGGCAGGTCTACAGTATAACACAGATAGCTCGAATTCGTCAGGACAAGCCGCAGTAGCTCGAGGGACATCTTGGAAAGATAAAGAAGAAACAAAACACGGGACCTCAGGTACAGTTTCATGGATGCGTGATTTAAACACTTTAAAGTCTTCTCAAGTCTTCTGTGTTCGGCCTATCCCTGTTATACTTTATTTCATTTTCAAAAAATTAGTCCAACCTCTGTCAAAATGCACTTTCTTGTTGAAAGTATGATGATCTCAGTACTTCCTTATTTAATTTCTTTTCTGACATTCACACTTCAAGGAATATGCTCGAAGTCTTTTTATATACCCCAGTAGTATACAGGGAATACTCCAAACATTTGTCTGTGAGTCATGTTTATTTTAATGAAAATGCAAGTCTTGAAATTTTATCTTAAAGTAGCCCTGAGAAGCAAAGTTAGACTACTGGTAGTACCATCCATGCTTGCAGTCACAATTATAATATAATGGTCGAAGGAAGCACAGAGCTCAGTAATCCATAGTTTACAATCAAGCTCACTGTTATTAATTGATAGTTTTCTTAGTCTAGTGCGCTCGGTAAAAGCTTCTTGTACTTCTGAGTTCCACCATGCAGCTCTAGTTCCACTGCATCCACTGGGGATTGGAACAGCGTACCAAGACCAGAAGCAGTATCCGTGAAGGAAAAAGGAAAAGCTGGCAAGATTACGTATCGACACTAGACTCGCGCAGCAACCTAAGCAAAATATGGCAAACTGTGAATGCCCTGAATGGGAAATCTAGATCATCACCACAAGGAGCAGCTCTAATAGTTAACCAACAGACGATAACAATAACAGATAATGCAAAGAAAGCAAATAAGTTTGCCAAATGTACTGTGAAGTCTCCTGTATCAAGAATGACACAAAGGCTGAACTGGAAGCAAAAGGAGAAACTATTAACATTGATCGCAAAATGCATCGAAGTAACTACACAGCAATGAAAACAACATGCCAATGCCAGGATGGAATATGCTCACCCCTGACAAAGGCAGAACTGAATGCTGCACTACAAGTTCTCAAAAATACATCTGCAGGAGATGACGGAATCCACAATATGATGTTGACCCATCTTCCTGAAGCTGGCCTGAATTCTCTCTTGAATATCTACAATAGAGTGTGGAAAACTGCCCAATACCCCTGCAGCCTGGAGAAAAGGTACGATAATTCCTATCCTTAAAACCGGGAAGGACCCTGCCCAAATGACCTCGTACAGACCCATCCAACTAACAAGCTGCATTGGGAAATTATACCAGAGATTAGTAAAAGTGAGAATGACGTTCTGGCTGGAAACCCAGAAAAAACTATGCAATATGCAAGCTGGTTTTCGACCACAGCGTAGCACAGAGGACCAGATCGCCAGGATAACGCAACACATAGCCGAAACCTTCAGATCAACTCTGGACCAAGACAGAAAGCAAAGAGAACCATACTCTGTCTAATAGACTTTTCAAGAGCCTTTGACAAGGTGTGGCATAATGGACTCCTCTACAAGATAAACGCCTTAGGAATGCCCACCTGTCTACAACGACAGATCAAGGCCCATCTAGACGACAGAAGGTCCAGAGTTCGTTTTGAGAGAAAAGAAAGTCGCTACTATCGCTTCCTCGCCGGCGTCCCTCAGGGCGGAGTATTATCACCACTTCTGTTCCTCACATACATCAACGACATCGTCGATGACCTACCCATGAGCATCAACACCAGCCTCTTCGCAGACGACCTGGCAATATGGGCATCCCATGAAAACCCTGACACTGCCGCCACAATGGTTCAAGCCGCTCTGGACAAGATCTGCGATTGGCTGTCCCCGTAGAATTATGCGAATTTAGATGGCCAAATTATGCACACACAAAAGCCAAATTATGCAAAAATTATGCAAGTTACCGTAACACCTTTCGCGACATGTTTTGCACTTTTTCAACACAAATTTTCATGACTTTTATGTTTTAAGTACAGAAAAATTTAAAACAGAACATATCAGTATCAGTAATTCGTAGTGTATTTGGAAATAAAACAATACACATCTGTAAAAAAAATAATTTTAAACTAAAAAGTATAATCCCTGTAACTTTCAGCTGTAGATCTAGATCTAGATCTAGATTTCTAGATCTGGGAAAGAAAAATGTAAAAAAAAAAAAAAAAAGGGGGACATCTGGACCTCTGATGCTGGTACATTACTAAAACCAGGAACACCTGTCAAACATGAAGCATCAGCAGACATGAGAACAACAACTTTTGATGGATTGAAAAATTGAACATGCTCAAGGAACAAAATCCCAAACCATAACCAAGATCTTCTACCAAGGGAAATAACCAACTTTTCACTGAAATAAGACTTATTACGGTGATTATTTCCCTTTAGTCACATGGCGAGGCGTTAATTAATTATTTTATTTTTTTTTTTTTTTGAAGGAAAAAAACGCGAGAAATCCAAAATTATGCAAATGTGCAGAATTACGCGAAAAAAACGCGGCCGCGCCATCCTACGGGTACAGGATTGGTGAAAACGATGGAAGATGGAAATTAACGTGGCGAAATGCGAATACTCTTTTTTCACGACATGGAACCGTGAAATGTCCTGACGTACCCAGCTTACAATGGAAGACGAGGAGGTGCCCTAAAACAAAACACCTACCTTCCTTGGCGTGGCCTTTGATCGCAAGTTAACATTTAAAGAACATATCAATAAATTAAAGAAAAAAACTGGCCCCACGAGTCAATCTCCTCCGCAAGCTCTCAGGTACAGACTGGTGATGCAGCAAAGAGGAACTACGTATGGTGTACATCGCGTACATCAGATCAGCCATTCAGTACGCCCACGCAGCCTGGTACCCAGCAACGGCCAAAACAAATCGTGAGACCTTAAATGTTATTCAAAACTCGTCGGCCAGAATAATTATCGGGTGTACGAGAGACTTAAATGCAATGCTGCTCACAAACGAAGCTGGCCTCATCCCACTTGAGGTTTAAGTCTAACATTGCAACTGTTGTGGCTTATGAGAGAGCAAGAGGAGTCCCAGAAGACAACCCTATCCGTGCCTCAGCTGAAAGAACATCAAAAATACACTTAAAGTCTATCAACAGTTGAAGGGAAATGGGCCGACAGAGCTCTCATAACGTGGGACTAGAACATTCTAACTCGAAAGCCCCTACGGCCAGCGAGTACAACTCCCCCGTGGAAGACCCCCTGCAACCTCACAATCAACTCCAAACTTGCAGTGTCTACGACAAAAACAGATCCACCTAATATGCGACGTGAAGCAGCTTTCGAGACCGTGCGCCGATTGCCTTCGTCCGACCTCGATATCTTCACTGACGGCCATGCTACTGACGGCTACAGGTTATGTGGAGGATACTGGTGTGTTGTAGACAAATCTCCTGGGGAGGAAACATGCGTATTCGTGCCCGCGGGACACACGGAAGCAGCTACCGAGATCAAACTACCGCCCTGCTCCGCGCACTGCAATGGCTTGAAAAACAACCACGTTTTCAAAGAATCCGCATCTTCTCAGACTCCCAGTCAGTTGTTCAACACTTAATGTGCGGAGTGACCGCAGTTCGTACTGAGATTGAGGACAAAATGTGGACCACTATTTGCCACTGCTGTGAAATCCACGGATACCTTCATATATACAATGGGTACCAGGACATCGCCACATCCACGGGAACGACTGAGCTGACGCCCTAGCCAACAAGGGAGGCCGCCTCGACCAGTCCAACACTCCAGTCGATCTCGCACCAGCAAGCTCGTGCATCTCGCGTTACATCATTGTCCACGCATGGGAGAAAGCGCGAGTGCACGACTCCGTCGGGGGGAAGGTGAAGCCACCACCGTAGAGGGACAAAGAGAGAGATCTAACCGTCAGACAAAAAAGAGTGTTATCACAGCTAAGATGCAACGCGAAGAGCGTGTGGCACAAGTCTTGACGACATGCAGCACGCACTGTATGAGTGCCCGCGCGGGGGGGGGGGAGAAGCACATCGAGGCCCATTTATGGAGAACAACGCGAGACCGGGCCCAGATGTACTCTGGACGAGGCCACACGAGGTTGCCTCTTACCAGTCTGCCTGCGATAGACTGCCGCCCTCCTAACGGAGGCCAGCCAGAGGAAGGAAGGAAGCTCAGTAATCCTCATGATGATCTCATTTTGCTAGAAACAGAAAAGAGCCATGGAAACACTGAAATAAATAAAAGTAGAAGTAGAAGGAGCAGACCACATTAGATCAACCACATGACACAGAGAGACTGCTAAACAATAACAAAGAAGAGCCTTCTACCAGTAGAAACCTTAAACCACCAACTCCATTAAGAGTCAGAACGGCATAGAATCCCCCCTCCGCCCCCCCCAATAAAAATGCAAGTTGGTTGAAGTTAAAGAAAAAGACAAAATTGTACAATTTTAGGGACAACTAAGCATATGTTCAGAAAATGAAGCCCTGCTCAACAAAGAAAGAACACACTACAGAATTTCTTCAATAGTACAGACTTTAAGTTTTAGTAGAGGTTTTATGACGCTCGCAACTGCGAAAGGTCATATGAGGGCCAGAAGATTAGAGGCATTACAAGAGAGTAAGAAACAAAAAAGAAGAAGGGGAGATAAGGACGGTAGATGTTTGATAGTAAAGAAGGAGCAAACCACACCAGAGCACCCGTCAACCACCCACCTAGTAGGGACTTTGTTGTACCCCTGACTAAGCTTTTTGCCATCCAGAATTTCAGTAAAAAAACAACGCAAAAATCTCAGCAAAGTCGTTTCATAAAGTTTTATACAAATACATTTACATATAATATGAGCACTTTGAACATTTCGTTTCTCTATGAATGAGGGTAAACCAAAGTGGCATTGCCTACTTGATAGAGATGTACATACATGTATTAGGATACGGCATGTCGTCAACAAAGAAGAGCTTAGATAACCCTCATAGTCACAGGTGATACATGATCTCAGTCTGCACAGGATGTAACAGAATAAACAGAAACTATGTGCAAGTTAAATCTACATCTCCACAAAGTCACACACACACACAAACATTTGCAGACAAAAATGATGTACACATACACCTAAAAACCTCTCACATAAGCAAGCACTGCACATATCTCTCTCCAATGATGTTAAATTCATACAAATGAATGAACAACAGTCATCACAGTAAAGGTAATAACAACCTACAGAACATAAAAGAAACAAGAACCTAAACCTGTCTTTTGGCTAAATATAGAGATATAACCTACACACTGTGCCAAGCTGCTCATCATCTGTTATTTCAAGAATCAGCTTCATGATGTCAGCAATACCTCGGTACAAAAATCTTTTTATTGACAATACTTTCAATTTAACTTTGAAGTTGATATACTACTATACACCGACTTATCTTATTTACTTTTTTCAATAGGCATAATGAATATAATTTTATTGTTTATAAAACAGCTTTCCCTTTTCAAGAACCACCCTCTCTTTTTATATAAGACATCTTGAGACTGAAGTTCAAAACAGTGACTTGAACATTTGAAATTAGGGAAGATATGGAGCCACCGTCAACAGCCTTTTGAGTTTCAGAACACAGCTGGCAAGTTAGAATTAAAGTAATAGCTGCGCTGAGGACACATCTGTAACCTTCGGGCAGGTAGTAAAGACATGAGTTCATGCGTTTATTGCAGACTGTTACTACAAGCATATCATATCCATCAAGTGTCAATAAAAATGTAAAACTTTATCAGTAAAAGACCTGGTCCCATCAAATCCGACTCCAGTTGTTGTGTATGTCCTACACCTTATGTTTATTTTAGTCTCTCTCTGAATACATACAGTCTATCATGCACATGGCAAAATCAACAGGACACAGAAATCTTTCCCTTATCTACGAACTTTGGGACAATTGGGTCAAAATTTTGAACAATTTAAGCCCCCTTTGTTATGCCAATATGCGTGTTGGGTTCATCCTTGCCCAGATTTGGGTTTTTTAAATAAATATTTGTATTCACATTCACATCTGTCAGGATCATCAGCCATTCTTCCTTGACCATGACACTTCCCGCTTCTTCCAATCCACCACACTCTCTACTACTACAATTTTACCAAGGCCTAACTTTGCAGGACGCCGGCAAGTTCTTGCGAAGTGTGTTAGGTTATATCTATCGCATGCTGACAAACAAGGTGACAATACCTGACATGTGCTTTCATGTAACCGCAGACTTCCCATACTCAACTGAAGAGTGCAGGCTAGATCTACTACAGAACACCTATGTGACATGAACAGTAAACACGTCCCTGGCCTACACTATTGCTCTCATCTTACATCATGGCTACAATGATAAATTATATTTGCTGTCATATTTTGTTAGTTCAGTAACACCAATTTTTTTTTAATGTACGAATTGTTTAAACTACATACATTTTTAGACACAAAAAATTGATAAGAAAAACATTTGAGAACCAAAAATCCTTTTCCAATGTTCGCTGTGAGTGTGTTCGCCATGCGCATGCCAGACTGTATACCCGTCGCTATCATTCAACAATGTAGTATGTCACAATTTCGAAGAGAAAAAAAATGAAAACTTGATTGAGTTCGATGAGGCACATCCATTGATCCTAGTCTTATTCTTTCCTTGAATCAGTAATGTATCTATTTAGACTATTTAAACATTTTGTATTAACATAATGTCCTGCCTGAAATTTTAAAAATTTTGTTCGTACTTTTTACAAATATGACAATGATGAATGACGGCGACATATTGGAGTCCGCTTAAACTGAAATCTGCACGATCACCAGATTTTCTTCAGTTAAGCCATGTTTTTTATTACGAAAATGTTCAAATAGTGACACCCCCCCCCGGATTCTCTTTTCTCTCTCTTTACCCACTGTATTCAGATTAACTGTGTTCAGATCAAGTGGACACCACTGAAGCTGACCTCAAGAAAAACCACACATTCATGTAGCACAAGTGGCGAAAATCACCATAAACAGCCATGTTCAAAATATAGCACCGATGTTTCTGATGGACACAGACAGCATGAGACGGTAGACGTAGTCAGACCAAGAGTAACTTTTAGTCATTTTAATGACAATATAATTAGCTGGCTTTACAAATGACAAAGGAGACTGGATTCACAATGAAAGAAAATACAACAAAGTAAAATGAAGTGTAACTTGGCATATAATAGGCATATATTAACACTAACCTAAATTTGGCGGGCACAAGCACACAGGTAGCTGAAAAAACACCAATGGCTTCACGTTCTACCAAAATGTTCAGTGCATAACTGCAAAAAGTGAACACACGAAAAAAAAATTTCAAATCCTCACATTACAATGACATAGGTGAAGTATGACAACTTTCGGTTTTGCATCTGTTGAGAATAAACAATGTGTAAAACTAACATTTCATAAGGAACTGTTTGTTCACATGAAAGTTTACTCGATAAAAATGAACAAGAACAATGACCCCCAAAAAATACAAGACACCTTTACTACTTGAGCAAAAGTAGAATCTCGCAATTTTCGTGAGGTCAGGACTTCAGAAAATGGTAACACTATCCAAATTTTAGAGTGCCTGAAAATGATTGTTCATCTTAAAGTGTTTACTTACTAGATCTTTTTCTTGACATAGAAGCAGGTCTGTTACTATTTACTGCTTCCAATGACAAGTTACAAAACATGTGGGCAGATGCACATAGCTCAGAAACTGAAATGCTGTCACAAACTTTTGCAAAAAGCATGACTTTTATTTTGAAACATTTTTTTACACCAAAGTATCCTTAAAAATGGACTTGTAAGCATACATTTAAAAGAAAAAAAAACCACCTAAGGCGTTTCAGGGTATCATAACAATGTCTTCTTTTCAATTATAACCAGGGCCCACAAGAAGCCTTTGGAACAAAATATGCCATTGTCCAGTTGTTTCAGAAAGGTGCAAGCCAACAACTGGCAGGTTGAGGAAAATCTTTTTAAATGTAGTGGAAGCTTTGAGAATTTTTAAATTATCCAAACTCTGACATTATCAGCCATAAAAAAATAAATATTCAGTACCATTACCATTCAAATGTCCATAACTAATATTAACTTGACTTTACAGTAGCATTACTAAAGGAAAAAGTAGCATCAGATTTAACACTGATGACACCATGTAGACCAGACACGCATCAAAATATTGTCCTGGGTTCCCTGTACCAATGTAAACATTTCAACACTGGTAAATGGATAGTTGCGCTCCCACAGGAGAGCAATGAAGCAACAAGCAACAAATCATCCTCTGTTGAAGACAGAAATGGGTGCAAATACGAAATTCATGATGCCTTGAAAATCAGACAAACACAAAACCATTTGAACATTCCAGTGTATTCCGCTCTCTAATTCATTTAGTTTCATAAACAACAATTTAATGTTTGTACCCAATGATAACAACACTTGAGCAAAAAATAACAAGACAATTTGTTGAAGCCAAGAATTGAAGAGAAGACCAAAGTTTAAAGTTCACATTAAGTAAATTGAACACTTATTCAACTAGCTGGGTCTGCACATACTGGTCAGACACACTGATCAAACAAGAACCATCAAGGGCAAACTTTGACCTCTACGAGAAACGGTCCCCGAGCAAACGGTGAACAGCAGCTTTGGTCAAAATGAAATGAGTGTGGAAGAAACAAAACTATCCAACATTCCTTTGGAGAAATGAACAATGATTCTCATGCTACACATGGAATTTGGTTGACTTGGAGAGAGAGAGAGAGAGATCATGACCCCCTCCTTTAACCCCTGAGTAGGATTCAAACAGAGAATAAATGCAGCCAATATTGGCTAACTGAATCATATCACCATCATTATGCAGGTGGAAGGAGTCACACAGGTGTACACAACACTTTGCTTTCAGTCATCTGGGTCCCCTAGGGACAATACAGTGATAAACTGAGGTCATCAAGCATTTGGCCAAAAGTAAACAAAACATCTTGTTCTTGTGTAGCAACAGGGCACAAAACAACCATCATTTGTCGCTCAATGCAAAATAAAAAAATGTACAAAAAATTAACCTGTAATCAAACAGTCTTTCGCTTTCTGATACTCAGTGTGCACAGACCATCTCTTTCTCCTTTATGCGAACTGGGAGCAATAATATCAGATCAAATCTGACAGTATCCAAACTATTAAGTAACACTTACCCCCTCCTTCCCCAAACCCTCCCCTCCCACAACTTCATCCTCATCAAAGCATACAACAGAAGAAAAAAAAAAATCACTACAAAGAATAAAAACAAGTCACGTTCTTGGTCATGATATAGCAGCTTCTCTGTACTTGAAAAACCTCTTCCACTCTCCAGTAGCATAGTTCATCTGGAAGTATGTATCTTCAATCTTTTTCTTTTGCGTTCCATCAGGCAACTGGATGAGTTCCTCTCGCTCGCTCAGCTTGATGTTCAAGATGTCCCCTTGAGATGGGCAAGGGTTCTCTGAAAAAGTAGAGAGAACATGTTTTAATGAAAACAGGCATAAACAACATTTCGATTAGCTAAAAACTATTAAGTTGAGCATACTTGAGACCAACAGAGACTATTTTATGTAGTAAACTGAATGATACAGAAAACCAGAAAAACATTTCAATCCTGTGACTTCATCAATGTTCTCCAAATGCACATAAGGGAGAGAACTGATTTCAATATTTTTTTCTTAAGTTAAACACTAGAATGACAAGCATTCTAACCAGTCACTGAGTGTATGGGGACCCTTCCCCCTCCCAATTAGAAATTCAAGTTTTAGTATAGCAAAAATTGCTGTCCAATTAGATGGTACGAGGGTAAATTTTTGTTTAGTCCACACATATATTATGCATGTGACTATAAACCTGTGTGTAGGTGTGTATGTACGTGGTGAAACACCAAACCAATGTGCCAGGAACTGGACAATAAAGATTCATCTTATCTTATATGGGATCCTGGTCAATCACGGCACCCTCCACAGAAGTCAAGAGTTCCAGAATAATTATCTCAAAACAAGATGGAATCAAGCACATATTTTAACAAATCAACTGCAGCCCTTTGAGAATACAATACCTCTGGAGCCAGCCATGAAGCCAAGGATAAGAGCCTTCTCAGGTCTTGACACTTTGTTGGATGCTTTGAACATTTCTTGAGCATCAGTCATTTGGTCTTTCTGCAAAAGGAAAGAAGCATAGAAAAACAATGTAACTAACATCCGTAACCTCAGGTAGAAACAATGACATTTACCCACCAATGGTCTTATTAGGTTGTCCAAACTGGCTGGGAAGGTGGGCAAACCACACGATTTTGCATAAATTTAGGTGTTTATTCCCACAAACATTATTCTGTTATATCTGTATGGACTACTATGTCCAACACCTCAAAAAAAAGATCTTTCGTTCCTTTTTCATAAAAGATATAGTTTTAAATATTTTAAGTTGTAAGTTGATGCATATCACTCAGTGAAAAATGTTTATGGCACTTTTACGAGTCCAAAAACAGCCCGTCACATATCCATACCTTGCACTTTGCAGGAAGGGGGCATATGAATTTGAAATTATGACAAAAAGAAAAGAAAATGAATGGCCTCAAGTTGATTATTATTTGTGGTGGATCCGAGCCAAATTTTGCACTGAAAAAGTGATTTGAAAACTTTTAACTATAAAACATCATGTAAAAAGTCTCAGACCAGGGGCAAGTTCAGTTATAGGGAAATTGAGAAAAATATGTACTCTATTAAAATATGCTGCAATCAAATCAGGGATGATTTTTTTTCAGCAAAACCCTAGCCATGGCTAGCAGCGGGACCAGAAGAGAGAGGACGGAGTGCCCGAGAGCTGTGTTCAAGCCACTCCTGACTGCAAGTCTGCAAGAATGCAAAATCTTAAATGAAAAGCGAACTTTGATCCAATAAATATTGACATTCTCTCTCTTGAAACTGCTGGAAAAAATTGAGCTTGTTTAGTATTTTAGAAAGTTGCATTCTACAAAATACTAAGCATATGGCTGTCTTAAGCCCCATTTAGACGTACAATTCGCTGATCGACAAACTGTAGGATACCGAGAAGATGACTCGCATTCTGTCAATTTCACATGGAAAGTGAGCGTGAAACGAGAAATCCTCTCGATATCGAAGGGTTCTCCGTCCAACCACCAGATACCTCAGATATTTGCCGGCCGGCGAACTGAAGGAGTGACGATGAGGGAGCGGCTTCTTTGATGTTGCCCCAGGCAGAGTTGAAAATGCATTCCAAAAATTTCCTAAATATTCGTCAAAAAAATAAGATTTTCGTGACCAGCGACCGAAAATTAGTAAAATTCTCACGAGGAACGCAATTTAATCGTGAATTACCAAGTTCAATTCTTTTTGTGTGTTTTCTTTTGTTTTACCATTCGGCCCACCCCTTCATTTTTGAAAGTGAAGGCAAATAATGTGTCACGTGGTGTGACGTGTACCGCCGAGATGTTTTGGAGTCAGCTGAGGGCTACACACCATTGCTTCATCTAGACTATTCTAGACAGTAGATCTAGAAGTGCTGTTTATTTATTTTTATTTTTTGTCTACACGCTCCCAGTTTTACTACTGCACAGGTCTTCTAATTTTGCTACAATGACTACAATGTCCGTGTTGGAGTCAGCTGAAGGCTACACACCATTGTTTCATATAGACAGTGCTGTTTATTTATATTTATTTTTGTCTACACACTACCAATTTTACTATTGCACAGGTCTTCTAGCCTAGTTCTAGTACAATGTCCGTGTGGAATAACAAGGAAACTTGGGCGCTTTTTAGGTAGTTCCCACCCCGCTTATATGGACCTAGATCCAGATCTAGATTTAGATCAGAAGGCTTTTGATGCGCGGCGAGCGAGAGATATCAACCCTAAAGGCAAAACATTAAATTATGGTAAAGTGCCCCCCCCCCCCTTCGAACCCCCCTCCACATTCTTATTAGATTTCTAGCTGCCCCCCTGAAACCCCCTAAATCTAAACTGTTCTACAGTTCATCGAACATTATCGAACGTTGCCAGTATTGTGGAAATAGAATATTTGTGTGTGTAGGTACTTCTTTTTAATAGCCATTCTTTAGCCCAGATGGTTCTCTTTCTAGATTTCTTTTTGGATTTGAGAACAAAAAAAGCTGCCAAATCATCCAGGTAGCTTGCTTCAGCCATTGTTGGGATTTTGACCTAGATCTAGATCTAGCTACAGCAGTCCAAGGACAGATAAAAAACTGTACGTCTAAACGGAACTTCTCTCGTCGACTAACTGTCAGTTTACCGATGACCCAGATTGAGCGTCCGTCGGTTAAACTGTCAGTTTGTCGATCAGCGAACTGTACGTCTAAATGGGGCTTTAGTCTTGGTGTTGTGATGAGTCAAAAATGACTTTTTAGCGAAGTTCACAAGGTTGCAAGTTCGGGGAGTGAACAAAAAAGACTGGCAAAATGCCATACCTTCCTTAATAATGATCACAGAAACAGCAAATTGCCAGAGGCCAAATATTTGCCAAATTAATTTTCAGAGTTGACTTACTGTTAGAAAGAGGCCTTTCTTTGCATTGGCTGGTTGTGTCTGGGCCGGTGTAGATGGAGCAGGGGTAGGGGTCACAGCCATCACTTGTGGCTGATTTGTCCCTGCCGGCTGCACTAAGATTGTCTGTTGTGGTCGCAAGCTGGGGGAAGTAGGAGGCCTGGTGGGCAAGTTGGAAAGATTGCTGGCTGCCCTGACCTGTGCACTCGTCAGACTGGTCAGAGTTGCGGCAGGCAGAGTTGGGCGTGGAGGCTGAGGTGCTATTAAAATTGGTGCCATCATGGGCAACGTCGAGGGTGCTGCGCTCACCACATTAGCTGCAGCCGGTAGTCGTTGCTGCTGTTGCTTGAGCTGCTGAGGCAAGGTCTGTTTTTTCCCAGTTGTAGGTGCAGAGGACAGAGTGCCAATCCCTAAGGAATAGAAGTAATTCATTATTAGCCAAAAAAACATGTATTTGTCTGTAGTGAAGAAATGCTTTTCCAAGAGCCAGTGCTTTTCTTTTCCAATTTCTAAAACGTTTATGACAAAAGACCATTTATAATAAGAGCAGAAGTAGAATTTTAATTTATGACTTCACAGCCTTACAGCCAACATTTTTATGAACACACTCTCAGCGTTCGACTTTGTCTCGATAATGAATCTTTACCTTCCTCTCCACAAGGTATACATACAGTCAAAATTGTGAACTTGTAAAGAGAGAAACATGGAAATTCAGGACCCATTACCTCTCCTTTGTGACTCACTGTTTTATCTGTTTAGGATATCAAGGTCGTCATCAACAAAACTAGAAGTAAAAGTGCAAACTTCCCTCCTAACACTCGTTTCATTCTTGCGTGATATTCATATCTTTTTCTTTTTTCGAGGTCAAATTTTAGCCTGGTTTCAGTGGCTTTTGGATCCTCTTACATGATCAGACATTCATGATTACAGGTGGTTGTTGCTCCCAACGTCTGCTCCTCAGAATGATTTGGTCTTTAGTTTGTCGGTACTAGTTTTGTACCTTCTCTTCTCCAGGATGTAATCAACCAGGTGAGGTCATCTGCTGAGAGCAGGCCATGTCCATATTTCAAATGCTTTGAGCTGGTCAAGCATGATCAACAATATCACGTTCTTGTAGCTGGTGAATTCCAACAGTCATAATCCTTCATTAGTTGTGCAAAAAGAGCCCATAATACTGTTTCCGTTTTCAAATGCATCTCTCCTCAACTTAAGTGTTCCAGTCGCCACTGATAGTTATGATATACTCTTCGTCTTATCTTCTCAGTGACATCTTCTACATCTTTGTATACTTCATCCATGTATTCCTCAAGCCTGCTTGAAACTGGCTAGCATTCACAGCCAAGTTCCTGAAGGACTGGTTGGGTAAGAACCATATGCATGCGCTTTTTGTTCCACCTAAATAAACGACGTTTCCTTCAGCAGCTCCATATTACCAAAGATAGTACATAACAAGATGGTCCACTCAGCCAAAAAAGTGTTCGCCGGAAGTCCGTTCTTTGCTTCAGATAGTGCTGCAGTTTGTTTTGAAGCTCTCTTTCATTTCTCCAGAAGAAGAATAGGAATAGTACCTCCTTGCGTGCGCTGATCGACTGCTGTTCATCAGCTTTTCGGGTTAGTTCAGTGCGGAGTTTTAGTTTCTTTTATTTTAATGAACTCTCGCCTCTCATTCTAAAGTCAAATTAAACGAAGAAAACAGTCGCCCCTTTCTCCGGACGAGGTTTTTTGTCAGCGCAACCATTTTAAAAAAGCATTCTTCCGAAATTTGAATTCTTATTTATTCAAAAACTTGTTCGTTTCACTTTGATTCTTTAAACACAAGTAGGGTAACTCTGTTCGCAAAGGGTGCGCATTTGCAAAGAGGGCGCCACCGAATTTTGAGGACACTTTTTTAATTGGCTAAAAGAGAGGAGTGGACCCTCTTGTTATGTAAACTCTTTTGATACTACTCAAGATTTTTTCCATCTTGCCTTACACATCCAGGGAGATTGCAACGATACAAAGAACTTTTGTCAGATTTGACAGATGACATAGAAATAAATGAGACCTAAATGTCTGTCTCTATTCTGCACAAAAATGGGGGGCTAAGCATAGGGTTATCCTTGTCATAGTGTGTCACTCACCACTCAAAGTAGTGCCTTGACTGCTTGGTCTGACAGGAGTGGGCAGGTAGGCAGGTGATGGTTGAGACAAGGCAGATGATGAAACACTCAGCACAGTGATGGGCATTTTCTAGATCAAAGCAAAACAAAGAATAGGCAAATGAACAACTCATATATGCACAAATCGGGAAAAGATAGAATGTAAGAATACGACTGCATAAAAACGTCAGCACGGGCTCTGATAATATTAGTTTTGATTTATATTTAACCCTGGAAGCGCGCAGGCCCTATATAAAGGGCGTGAGCCCGGCTACATGGGAAGTGCACAGGCCCTATATATAGGGTTGACCTACTTCGACTGAGAAGCGCGCAGGCCCTATATAAAGGGCATAGACGCTAACCCTTTTCAATTGAAAATTTCAGTATTCCTTAGGCTGAAAATATACTACCACGCACAACTGAAGTGCGCCAGGAAAAAAGTCGTGCCCTCCTCTTTATTTCCTATCAGTGATTTCACTGACATGGCTAGACGTGTAAAGTCGTAAGGGCCCAAAAGGACATGCGTGCATGCAGCACTTCTTTTTCGCGTGTGGACAGGCTTGCCTACTACATGGGTCTCAACTCAGAATTTTTAAAAAGGAGGAACTTTCCGAACTTTCGTGTGATCGCGACAGAAGCCCATTTTCGCGAGACACCCACTATTATTATACTGTGGGACCCTAGAACTCTCTCCACAAGGTATACATACAGTAAAAATTGTGAACTTGTAAAGAGAGAAACATGGAAATTCAGGACCCATTACCTCTCCTTTGTGACTCACTGTTTTATCTGTTTAGGATATCAAGGGCGTCATCAACAAAACTAGAAGTAAAAGTGCAAACTTCCCTCCTAACACTCGTTTCATTCTTGCGTGATACTCATATCTTTTTCTTTTTTCGAGGTCAAATTTTAGCCTGGTTTCAGTGGCTTTTGGATCCTCTTACATGATCAGACATTCATGATTACAGGTGGTTGTTGCTCCCAACGTCTGCTCCTCAGAATGATTTGGTCTTTAGTTTGTCGGTACTAGTTTTGTACCTTCTCTTCTCCAGGATGTAATCAACCAGGTGAGGTCATCTGCTGAGAACATACGACTGCATAAAAACGTCAGCACGGGCTCTGATAATATTAGTTTTGATTTATATTTAACCCTGGAAGCGCGCAGGCCCTATATAAAGGGCGTGAGCCCGGCTACATGGGAAGTGCACAGGCCCTATATATAGGGTTGACCTACTTCGACTGAGAAGCGCGCAGGCCCTATATAAAGGGCACAGACGCTAACCCTTTTCAATTGAAAATTTCAGTATTCCTTAGGCTGAAAATATACTACCACGCACAACTGAAGTGCGCCAGGAAAAAAGTCGTGCCCTCCTCTTTATTTCCTATCAGTGATTTCACTGACATGGCTAGACGTGTAAAGTCGTAAGGGCCCAAAAGGACATGCGTGCATGCAGCACTTCTTTTTCGCGTGCGGACAGACTTGCCTACTACATGGGTCTCAACTCAGAATTTTTAAAAAGGAGGAACTTTCCGAACTTTCGTGTGATCGCGACAGAAGCCCATTTTCGCGAGACACCCACTATTATTATACTGTGGGACCCTAGAATGTTGAAATAAAAACTATCAATTATCAAAGAAAGGTTATTTCATACCAGTTTGAGGGTTTGGAAGACAATTTCAAGTAAGAGTCACTTACCAAATATTTACAATCTTGACTACGTACAGAAAGTGGAGGCGCACTGTGGTCTAGTGCGACTTATTTATATTTTACCTTCATCATATTTGCCTGCATACTCTATAAATATGATGCGAATCTTGAACAAAAAGCTAAAATATAAGAGACATAATTTACTGTCACCCATCCAATGAAACGTGAACACTTAGGCCCCTGCCCTAAGTTCATTAACACACTTACAAGTAGTTATGACGGATCCTGATTATACACAAGGCAAGCACTAACGCGCACTTTACTTTGCAGAGAGCTGTAGTAGTAATCAAAATTCTAAATATTAACATTTGCTTCCAATTTCTTTTCTTTTTTTGTCCTCTGGTGTTGCGTCCAGCCCTCCCCCCATCCCAGAGTGTATCTTTTTTTTTAAAAATCAATAATCTCCCCCCATTCCGGAGTCCTGTACTTCACAGCGCTCAGAACGCGCGCAGGTTCATTGACCGGTCACAATGACGAGCCCGACAAGATGCTTGTATAACTTTCTTTTCTTTTTTTTTTTCCCCCCCACAAGCGACAGCACAGTGACGAACATTATTTTCATGGCGACATCACGTTTGTAATGCAGAACCTGCATGTTACAAATGTTGCGTATTTAGACTTTTACAGACAAATTTCCGAGATCTTGATTTTCCGGTCGAACCTCGGTGCCACATACAATTCCGCTTGCCGCCATAGCCGCCTGTTCGTGTAAAACGTACTCTCAGACCGGGAAAAGCCGAATTAATATCACAATCGCGACCGGCAAAAATGAACTTAAAGACATTATCGGATTTGGTTTTCAAATAATATTCGAGATCTTTTATGTATTTTCCCGTGTCTCTGCGATTTTTTTCAAATTCCCGGGTAATTCCCAAGGCCTGGCAGTCACTCTGCTTCCAGCAACTCTCTTTCTGATTGACCCCCTGTCGCGGTAGCAGAGTTTAGCGGAGGAAATGGCGGTAGCGGAAATCCGCTAAATAGTGGAATATTGAGACCCATGCTGCTATGGGAGTGTTCCGTGATGCCATGGAGATAAGACAGGGGGGGGGGCTGAACACTGAGCTGTGTACGTCTGCTCAGTGCCAATTTTTTTACACAGTCAGACGAAGCCGCGCTGACCTACGGGATCACCACTTCCAATCTAGCTGCTCATCCATTTCACTGCGCACTTCAGATGTGCGTGGCAGTATATTTTCAGCCTTATATGGAAAATGACATAGCAAGTTACAAGTCAAAGTTTTATAAATAGAGACCAACGACTTTGCTAATTATCTTGACCTCGAAGAGCGTCTCTTGGAAAAGATATCGATCGATAAAGATCTGCGGTCCAGCTGATCATTTATCATTATTGAATGGTTCATTCTATCAGCTTTAACTCATTCGCTACGCCGAGCCGTGGGGGGGGCGGCGCGGCTAAAGTGCCGTCAGTACGCTAAGCCGCCCCCGGCGGCTCGAGAACCGACGTTCAATTTTAGCTTGGTTTCTATTCCAATCCACATATCCATGTTAAAATAAAGGTCATAATATAAAGTAGACTTCCGGGTCAAGCGTTTCCACCAAAAATCGGAAGTTTTGATTCAGTTTTGAAACACGATTTCGAAGTTTATGCGACATTGTTTTATCGCGAAGCCCAAATTATAGCCCAGACACCAGTCTTAGTACTTTTACACAACAAAATGTATCATTATTTTGCTCACTAAAGAAGTGTAGGACTCTTCTTTATAATATTGATACTACTGGACTCAAATTGCCAGTGCACTGTAATTGAGAAATCAATATTTTGAGTGCTAGATCTAGGCCTAGATCTAAATAGTCAAAATATTTTTTTTTCTCCCCAAAATCACTACTTTTTGGTGAATTTACTCAAAAAGTACCATCCAAGACATGTATAGGTTTATTCCAAATGCAATTCTGAATAATTCCATATAAGATATGAGTGGTTTTTTTCTGTTTGGGATCCTTTTTTCAAAATTATTTTTAAAATATTTTTTTTTCAATATCGGAGGTTATGATCCAAATGTACAAATATAATGGAATGTATGTAAATAACTGCTCATTTTTCAATATTTTCCTGTTTTATATACAGTTATGGTTAGTTTGATGTATAATTTGACTAGGTGCAAACATATTTTTTGAGTTTCGTCTGAGATTATAAATTTTTTGTTTTCAAATTTTATCCGTAGCCAATCACAATTGTGTTGCATAATCGCCTCTTACATGAACCAAAGTTGAAAAATACTCAAATAAACAATACAGATGTATTCTACAAACCATACTGAAAATATTGGTATATAATATGTTGATATTTATTTGAATTTATGGCCCCCAAGACCTGTGAACTGCGCACCAGTCATCATCTCATTTCGCCCTCCCGAAAAAAATTCGTCCACAAGCCGTAAATAATACGTAGCGAATGAGTTAAGAAAAGATATGGTTTTATATACCTTTTATCATCTGTTGAACCGTAAATGGTCATTTTTCAGTAGCAGGTATACATCTCTGGTATCTCAGCGGACATCCCCCCGCCAAACCCCCATGTTTACAACTGATCGGTCATGTGGCAGGGCATTTTTGGCGGGTTACTTCCTGTGAAACGCTGAGCGCTTCTAGGATTAAAGACTGCAATTGGTTTAAAGCTCTCGGTGAACATTGTCTGATAAAAAAAAAAAATCCAGTTCTGAATCCAAAATCCCCATTCTTACCACTACCTTTCAACTAAAAAGTACTTTGTAGTTGAACGATAACATGTACATACTCAGTGCTTCCACCAGCTGAAGCTAAAAAGTAAGGAAAATTCTGCCGGGGGTCTGAGGCCACCAGCAGGGTCCAGGGACAGAGTCTCGGTGGAGGTTCAGGGGGCGAAGCCCCTGAAGAAATTAAAATTTAGTGCTTTTAGAGGGTCGAAAATGGCATTTGGGAGCCTATTAGGAGAGATTGCCAGCAAACCATAACGTTATTTTTTCACCAACATTTTGTCTTGTGTGATTTCTTCACCAAGATCTACATTAGCCTAACATAATATATTTCATATCCATTGCTACTATAATTCAATTAATTTGTCATCGCACCATTGATAGAAGGCAAACCTGGGAATAATGAATAGATATGTACCTTCACAATACAGTTACCCGGCGTATACCCTAATTTTCCTTAAATTTCACGCCTGAATGTCGCATGTCACAACCTTGGAACATCACTTCGAATTATTCTTGACTTTAGTAGTTTTAGGCTGGTTATAGCATAAATTTCTTTCATCGCGGCCCTTATCGTGTTTCCGTGCCGTAGAATCTTCGTATTGATCATTTCTCTAGATCTAGACAAATTTGTAAAAAAGTTTCTTTCTGACAGTAATTTTCTGTCTAGGATCACAAGTCAATTTATTTGACCAACACGCCGATTTTCCAGCCGCGGCAACAATCCAAAGATAGACGGAATGAGTGAATGATAGAAAGGAGGAAATTGGCACAAAAAGTTTGCCAGATTTTGATCAATCCACAGGTAAAAATGTACTGTCGACAAGCCCGCAATGAATGCATGGGGCATAGTGGAATAATGGCCAATTGCAGGAAATGCGCAATCTGGCAGGTTTCTATAACATTTACCTATTGCCGAGAGAATTACCGTAAATACCCGTAACTTATACTAGTACTAGACGATACGAAGGCGAGTACGGATCTTTAGCTACGGAATTTCAGTAGTCCTACACTGCCGCAGCTTTTTACAGAGGGAGTTGATAATGATGGAGGAACAAGTACGGAACTAGCAGAAAGTACGGATTTCCGTAAAAATACGGAAGAGTGGAAGCACTGATACTAAAATAGAGTAGCCAAATAATTACATTTTCAGAACCTGTCAGATCTCAGTTCATTTGCAAACCTGATATGACAGCTACTTACGGGAGTTGCTGGAGCGATGAGACCTGCTGCGTAGTCTGGGGCATATGATGGCAGAGCTGAGCTAACAGTGGTCGCTGCTGCAGTTGTTGGGTTTGCCGCTGCAGCTGCTGCTGCTGCTTCTTTTTCTTTCTTTTGAGCTTCCAACGCCTCCATGTCTACAGTGATATATTGGAGATGGAAAATATTTTAGTACTTGCTAGACAGTTCGTTGAAGTATATTTGGCGAAGATTTACCACCATTAATTTTACAGATAAAAAAAAAAATTTGGAGAAAAAACAAAGACAGTAGCAATGCTAATATTCTGACACAAACAATGTTTACACCCTCTACAGACTCGTAATCAAATTTTGAAAGGTATTTTTGGGGGGGAAGTGTTTTACAGCCCTCACAACTGCATAAGGTCATATGAGCACGTGGGACACACTACACATTTTCAGTTGGTAGGAAATTTTGAATTTTGCACGGGTGGCGGCCGAAGCCTACCACCAAGGGATCTTTAACGGGCGCAACATGCACACGGGACCTCCAAGATTTTTTGCCCTTGGCCGAGAAAGCTAGGTGTAGATCTTTCCTACCAGAAGATCAGGGGTGTGGCAGAAAAACAGCAGTAAGGAGCCTAGGGGTAGCAGTAAAAAGGCTGCAAAAAGAGTCAGAAGCCCAGAGGAGGGGGCAAAGGAGGTGAGGGGGTGAGAGTAGAAAGAGAAAATGAAAGCAGACAACAGAACATTGCTAGAGAGTAGGAAAAGAGGTGAAAGGAGACAATTTTAGAGAAGAAAATTTTTCCTTCGCTACCCGGATTTGAACCCGGGACCTTTGAATGAGAGGCGAACACCTTAACCTCTAGACCATGAGAGACCCCAAATTTTGAAAGGAAGAACCAACTTTGGAAAAGAAAAAAAAGGAGGAAAAGAAGTCATAAATGAACGCTGGACAGATGAGCCCCAAAAACGTAACAGAATTAATATAAGTCTATTAGTATCTAACAAATATTCTAAGGGATAAAACTTTTTTTTAAATCAAGTCTTTCAAAGTCCTTACACAAGTAAATGCTAGTGCAATGTCATATTCTGTCTCCGGGAAATGATCCCTTGAGTCTACTCAGTAATTGCAGTGTTATCAATGTTTCTAAGAGATTGTGTCATTGACATTTATTTAAGATCAGACTTGCATTACCGGCAATTTTCTTCCTTCTTTTGGCTTCTTTTGCTCCAACTGGCATTTCCTCCAATTCAAGCAACTGTTAAAATTGAAAATAAGAAATAAAGAATTTGTGAGGCTGAATATAAAAGGAATGATTACAAAGAAAGAACAGCAATTTTGAAAAAGTGACTGTTCTTTTAAAAAGATATTTGGTTATAGTATGAACAATGTAACTTATTCATGTTCATCAACTTTTTTGAAAAGCTCAAAATGAACACCGTTCATATATTCTCAAATTTATGTCCATTTTTTATACAAACATCAAACACATTATGATAAATTTATAAAGTGAGTCCAAATTTAAAGAAAAAAAAAAAAAAAGAAACCAGAAATCCATCAACAAAAATAACACTCACCCAAAGAGGCTCCTCATAACTACATGCTCCCAAAACACAACAATCAAATGCAGACAATCAACCTTCAACTAGACCTCTCACAGACTCCACATTCACTCCACATTCACTCCACACTTTGAGAAGCATGCAGTGAGGCAATCACAAACCTTGATTTTGCTGTCCTTCTTTGAACCTGATCTTGGGGTGAGAGGAAGTGGGGTTATGGGTGATCGGCCCATCGAGGAGTTCAAGCGCTGCAAGGTTGAACCAGGAGAACGAAAGTCTGATCCAGACAAAGGAGATCTGCCCGTGACAGAGCGGATAGGGGCTTGGTGGATGAAAAAAAAACAAAAAACTTAATACACTGTAAAAATAGCAATCATTTTTTTAAAGCAAGTTACTTCCTTTCCACCAACAAATGCAGAACAATTTGCAGTAACACCATAAAAAAATGTTTTTCAAAGACTCACATAACAAATAATTCTCAAAATGTAAGATACAGACCAAAATATTTACAATCTATGTTCCACTGTAAATAACACAAAAGCACTTTCCCGTTCCCAGATTTTCTAAAATAAAATGAGGTTTTCAAATGATTGGTAATTTAACACATATATTCAAACCATGATAAATTTGATAAAAAGTTGAAAGTCGTAACTGAGTTCTACACCAGCTACTTACTTGTGTCCATCTTTTTGGCAAAACTTCGAGATTTGATAGGTACGGAGCTTGAAGCATGATTCCTTTTATTTTGGACTGTCTCTGAGGCTATAAAAAAATAAGAAAACAATGGTATTATGAACAACAAGAAATCAAAATGCGCACCAAACTTTAAATCAGTTGAAGAGTTTTGTCTCAGTCTGGAAAAGAACCCATGTCATTAACACAATGGCAGCTTATCTATTTCATACCCATGCAAATGTCAGGTTTTTCTAGTATTTCTGACACTTTCATTATAAAATAATCAAAATATTTATCTCTCAGTATAGTAAAAAGTCTTGAGAAATGAATAGCAATAAGGCTAAGGCACTGTAAATAAAATACAGACTAGCACAGAAGAGAGGCCGAAAATGTTCTAAATCTTACATTTATGTATGATATCCGCCCTTAAAGCAGCAGACTTGGGCTTTCTCTTCACCGTAAAGTGCTTTGTCGACTCCGGGATATGTCCAGCGACAGCTGTCAGTGAAGACTTGTTCAGGTATTGACACTCAAGTGGCATCATGCTCACAGTTGATTTTTTAGCTGAAAAACCCAACAACAAGACCCAAAAAATAAAGATAATAGTAATACTGGCCCATTAAAATAAAAAACTCTTGACATTTCATGAAGTTTCCTTCTTTTCTCTTTATAAAGTTGGGAAAACACTACTCAACATTCATTTATAAAGAGTGCATGAAAAATTTTCTTTGCTCCACCAGTCAGATTTGAAGAAATTTGACACTGCCTGCAGAGAAGTAGAATAAAGCATTTTCTTCACGTAACACACAAAACATTAACAGCCACTTCATCATTGCGTCAATCAAAATGTAACATCCTAAAATGGCTGGTAAAAGTACAACAGTTCAAACTGACTTTATGATTTTCTCAAAGAACAATGCTTTTATTCCTGACACCCATGTTCTTGTATCAAAGCTCTTTCAAAGACATGAAAGTAAAGCTCAGATGTAACACATGTAACGTGGAATGGGCTTAAAACAAAATCTCCAACTCCAAGTACTGTACGAAGTATAACTATAAATATGGTTGTCTAAACTTCCCACCATAATATTCACATTCTATCATCCTGGTTCACATTGAGAACCCAATTTACTCAGTAAAAAAATATTAATATGTACAAAAGTCCTCAGTAAGACCTTGTTAAGACTAGATTAAATTCACCCTTCCATAAACTAGTCAAGTAAATCTTGGTATGATTACATTTATTAAATTCTGTTTGTAAGTGTGTTTAGGGATTGATCCCAAATTTGCAATTTGATTGAAGGGAGCCTTTGACATGGTGGAATATTCATTTGAAAAAAGGAATTTTAAGGACCCAACAATTTTAAGAATATGTACTCTTCCATATTAATAAAACACTTTAAAATTATTAAAAAACTATGTCAAACAAAAATGTTTAAATGAATACTGTCTCTGCCTAAGATCCCAGTCAACTTTTATGATCAAGCACAATGGCCTCTTCCTACTTCTTAATTTGATGAGGTATGTTATTTTCACTTTCAATATTGAGTCTCAAAATTAGCTTTCCATCTCTGACCAAGTTCCCTTCTCATGTCTTAACGTATCATTCAAATTAAAATTCAAAGAACAAAAGGCAGGCTCACAGCCAATAGATGACCACAATAGGCAAAGGTGATCGGACAGTCCCCAAGTAAGGGCCCATTCTGTCTAACAATTTAGTAAGTTGAGAGACAAGGTTGATGGTCAGCTTGATGTGATCCCATCTGATGTGGCCACAGTAGGCACTACCTATCCAGAGCATGATTATGATGTCAGTTTAAGCAGTATGCTCAAATGCAGATGCAATGTTTGGGGAAAATAAATACGCTGACGAGTTCACATCTTGGCATGATCCCGTCTCGGGCAAGCATTGTACCCACTCATCAAGATTTGCAATCAAGAGATGGATATTGCATCAATAATAATAATAATAATAGATAGTATTTGTATAGCGCATATCCCCGCTCAACAGCAGGCTCTATGCGCTTTACACTATATTATTACCCCAGCAGACCATAGAACACTCCAAAACATTCCCAGCTTCCCGTGAAGCATACAGTGCAAGCAGCTGATTAAGCACTCAAACACTAACAAACTGACAAGATCTTTCGCTGTCTATAGCCGGATACCCATTCCCACCTGGGTGACGTGAGGAAAATTTGTGTAAAGTGCCTTTCCCAAGGACGCAATGTCGGGCCCCTGACGGGATTCGAACCCACGACCTTACGGTGATCTGTGATGCAACGGGCAGTACTATGATCGTAAATCTTCGCTGTTTGGTTGATCAGTCGCCCTCGCCCAAGGTTTTTGTTTAGCAAATTATGATCCGAAATGACAGTGATACTTTTTGTTTTAACTCTTCTCCCAGGGGGCAACATGCCAGGGCCCTCTTTAGGTACCAAATCTAAAAGTAACCTATAAGTCACTGAATTGGTCGTTAAATCAAAACATGTGAACTTATTTTGATAGTTCTTTAAAGAACTCCCAGTAAAAGAAACCTGTTTTCGACTATTGCCAAAAAGTGATTTGACATTGCAGTCATTGTAAAGGAATGTGCCTAAGCGGCTAAGAGCGACTCACCGGCACAGCAGTTCTGACTGCAAGTGCAAGCCCCTGATAGTGGCTTGCCGGAAATAAGGAGTTAAAACAGTGAAATTTTAAGGGACCGGGATAAAAAAATGGTGGGATCTTAGGTGGAGACTACTGCAAGACATTATGAAAACATGCAGAAGTATTAAGTCCAGAAGGAGTATCTGATAGAAATAAAAAGTTGTTTTTAGCAAGATCCAAATCACATACACAACTATATTTTAATGTGAACGTTTTTAAAAAGGTACAAAAATCACATCAGAAACTTCCCTCCCGACACATCAAGTTACCTGTTACAGCTGGTAGGAGAAAAACAAAGCAAAACTATGACTTACCTAATGTTTTCATTTCTTCTAAGCAAGCAACCATGCCAGTGTCTGGGCGGTTGTCTTGTTCCACCATGAGAAGAGCCCCGGTGGCCGGGTACTCCCTGAGTATTTCTCCAATTGTTGCAACCCATGGATCTGGGTCATTCATTCCCAAGGTAATAATTTCCTCGAAGTCCAGTTGCCACTGAAAGGACAATGTTACCAAAAACTCAGCCTAATTATTCCTCATAGACATCAGAATAACAATGCCAGTTGTGCTTTATCATGACAGTCCAAAAAGGAGACAGACATGATGTCATACGTGTTACAACACAGTCGAATCCGGCTCTCGTCAATTTTTGGGCATGTAGAGTTATTGGTATTATCTTAAAACTTGTTTGTTTGTCTTGCTTTGGATGAAAAAATATCCCCATTATCTTGAATAGAATTCGAGATATTTGCAAATGAAAGTGGGGGTCACCTGGTTTCAGAGGTAAACTTGTAAGAAAAAGGCCGCCAAAGATGACTTATTTCCTTAGTTTGAGAGTCCGTGGAAACTGAAAAGTTGCATTTTTGTGCCTTTAAGCAACATCTTTTCAGTAAAATTCAAACAGAAATGTGTTCTTTAATGGGCATGTTGAGCAAAAAAAAAAGAAAAAAAAAAGAAAGAAAATTCGATAACAATTCACAAAGCTGCGGAAAAATACCAGTTTCTTCACTTTTATTATTTCGATGAGTGCCTGATTTCATCACCTGCCTCACATAGTAGGTAGCGTGAAAAAGGCCTCGCGGGCACTCGCCGCCTTCCGGGCGCTTGGTACCCGTGAAATCGGAGTAATTCACATCGCTGTTTCTTTGCTCTTTCGCTATAAAACACCAAATGCCGTACACCTTTTGAAAGTTCAGCTTTTCCTCGTTACAATGGTGTAAGTTGTTTATATAAATATGTCCGATTAATTATATAGGAGCTGGAGAATCGCAGAGGAAAGCGAAGCTCCTCGTGGTTGGAATGCGTGGTCGGCCGGTTATGCGTGCATAGCCTTGCCCTCGTACGGCTAGCCAAGAAGTCTAGCCGTCCTTAAGTACGGCTAGCCTGCCAGTCTAGCCGTACTTATCTTAGGCCCTATTAACATTAGAAAACAGGTCTCATTAGTAATTATTCAGGTTTAAAATACAATTACATGCACTGACATTAAAGCACCTGGTTTCATCTCAAATACAAATATTTTATTTAGCAATGCCCACCGAGCGCGTTTTGTTCTGCCGATTTTTGGCCCCCGCTGCGAGGGTGCTTCGTGGGACGAACTAACGCAATGGTTGTTCTCTTCAACCCACTCTCACGCCGCTTCTCGTGAATGGATATGAATGAAACTTGGCAACCAATCAGAAAAGAGGTCAATCTCGTAGTATGCAGATTGACAACTTTGTACCCATCAAAGAAGCAGTCGAAAACGTTTGCGAAGTGGTTGATGTGGTACACTTTGAAGATTTTTCGGAGTTGTGATTTGTCAAACTGACTGATAAGTTGTACACCATTTTTCTTTATTCCCTTAAAATTTCATGCTTCTGTGTTTAGAGTTTTTTGTGTAATCTTTAAAAATGAGGGAGTAACTAAGGGAAAAGAGGCATTGCCATTTGCGCGTGCTGGGTGAACGACCGGCAACTGGGAATATTCCACTGAGTGACGTTAATCATCAGCCATCGGTCCCCTCAGGCGCTACGAACGAGGCCCCGTTTAAGTGAACCGAAAGGGGGGGGGGGAAGGATACTTGAAAACTAAACGGGGGCCTTGATAACTTGC